TAATTCTTCTGTCTCTGCTCTTAGCTAGTGTTTTGAAGAAAAATTCTGAGAAACTGGACTCACAATCCTGAGAGATATCCGCCATTTATGAACAATGTAAATCCCTTGAAAAACAGAAAACTTAAGTGTGCGTCTTGCTCAGAATTGAAAAAAAAAAAAATCAGTCATTATCCTTAAAGGAATCCCCCAAGCCTACTCAGTGTAGGGCCCTCATAATAACTACCAAGAAAATAGAGTTGTCGGGCTTCCCTGGTGGCGCAGTGGTTGAGAGTCCGCCTGCCGATGCAGGGGACACGGGTTCGTGCCCCGGTCCGGGAAGATCCCACATGCCGCGGAGCGGCTGGGCCCGTGAGCCATGGCCGCTGAGCCTGCGTGTCCAGAGCCTGTGCCCCGCAACGGGAGAGGCCACAACAGTGAGCGGCCCGCGTACCACAAAAAAATAAAAATAAAAAAAATTAAAAGAAAAAGAAAATAGAGTTGTATGAAACAGATCCCAGACTCTTCATAAGTTTGTGGTCTTATGTGGCAAAAAGAATGTATTACATAAGAAAATTCACGATAACAGAAAACAGTATTGGTTCTGTTTAACCAGAATAGTATTTCAGTAAGTTTTCATGGTTGACAGTATTTCAAAAATCAGATTTTACCTAAAAATACAGGTTTCCAATTTATTTTTAAAAAATCAAACATTAATAGTAAGCTAGGATTTCACATTCAAGAAATAAGCAACAGTTATCTAGTAGCAGTTCCCCATCCAAATGGAGTGCAGGCAATATATATATTATTTTTCAGATTCTTTTCCATTATAGGTCATTACAAGATACTGAGTATAGTTCCCTGTGCTATACAGTAGGTCCTTGTTGTTTATCTATTTTATATACAGTAGTATGTATATGTTAATCCCAAACTCCTAATTTATCCCCCCAACCTGCTATTGCCTTTGATAACCCTATGTTTGTTTTCTATGTCTCTGAGTCTATTTCTGTTTTGTAAATAAGTTCATTTGTATCCTTTTTAAGGTTCCACATATACATGATATCATATGACATTTGTCTTTTTCTTTTTCTGACTTACCTCACTTAATATGATAATCTCTAGGTCCATGCATATTGTTGCAAATGGCATTAATTCATTCTTTTTTTACAGCTGAGTAATATTCCATTACACACACACACACACACACACCCCATATCTTCTTTATCCATTCATCTGTTGATGGACATTTAGTTTGCTTCCATGTCTTGGCTAATACTGCTATTAACATTGGGGTGCATGTATCTTTTCAAATTAGAGTTTTAGCCAGATATGTGCCCAGAAGTGGGATTGCAGGATCATATGGTAACTCTGTTTTTAGTTTTTTAAGGAACCTCCATACTGTTCTCCATTGTGGCTGCACCAATTTACATTCCCACCAATGGTGTAGAAGGGTTCCCTTTGCTCCACACTCTCTCCAGCATTTATTATTTATAGAGTTTTTAATGATGGCCATTCTAACTGGTGTGAGGTGATACCTCATTGTATAACCTCATTGTAGTTTTGATTTGCATTTCTCTAACAATTAGTGATGTGGAACATCTTTTCATGTGCCTGTTGGCCATCTGTATGTCTTCTTTGGAGAAATGTCTATTTAGGTCTTCTGCCCATTTCCTGATTGGGTTGTCTTTTTTTTTTTTGATATTAAGCTGATGAGCTGTTTGCATATTTTGGAAATTAATCCTTGTTGGTCTCATCGTTTGCAAATATTTTCTCCCAGTCCTTAGGTTGTCTTTTCATTTTGTTTAAGCTTTCCTTTGCTGTGCAGAAGCTTTTAAGTTCAACTAGGACCCATTTGTTTATTTTGGTTTATATTTTCATTACTCTAGGAGGTGGATCAAAAAAGATATTGGTGCCATGTATGTCAAAGAGTGTTCTGCCTATGTTTTCCTCTAAGAGTTTTATAGTGTCTGGCCTTATAATTAGGTCTTTGATCCATTCTGAGTTTATTTTTATATATGGTGTTAGAGAATGTTCTAATTTCATTCTTTTACATGTAGCTGTCCAGTTTTCCCAGCACCACTTATTGAAGAGAATGTCTTTTCGCTGTTGTATATTCTTGCCTCCTTTGTCATGAGGCAGTTAAAGTATTCTTAAAGAAAAAGTGCAGGGACTGGTGGCGCAGTGGTTAAGACTCTGTGCTCTCAATGCACAGGGCGCAGGTTAGATCCCTGGTCAAGGAACTAGATCTTACATGCATGTTGCAACTAATAAGAGTTTGCATGCCACAACTAAGGAGCCCGTGTGCCACAACTAAGGAGCCCACAAGCCACAACTACGGAGACAACGAGCTACAATTAAGGAGCCCGCCTGCTGCAATGAAGACCCGGAGCAACCAGATAAATAAATAAATAAAAAGCTAATACTATGTTGAGAGGTTTAAAAAAAGAAAAAGTGCAAAAGAAAATAGAATGGGCAATTTACACAGGGCTCACTGCTTGGGAAAACACATGGAACTGAGAAACTGCAATGTCTTTAGGGAAATAAGGAAGATAAAAATTGTGTTGAAAGGAATGTCAGGTATTTAAAGGACAGTAATAAATAAGGGTGGAAAGTTAGGCAGAGGCTAGTCTTCTGGGAAACATAAATCCTAAAGTAAGGGGAACAGACTGTAGTCTATGGGCAGTGTAAACCTAGTGAAAATTTGAGTAGAGTGTGAATTATGTGAATTATTATGCATAGCATTATTGCTGTGGTTATCTTTTACTTCTTGGTAGAAAAATTTGACATTGCTACACTGAATGAAAAGGTATTAACATGGGAATGGGTTGGGGAATGAAAGACTCTCTACTGAAAAACTTCACAGAGCAATTTTTGAATAATCAAGACATGGGAGGGAATGTGCCAACTGTGGTGGCCATGAAAAGAGACGGAGGTAAAGGGAATTGTAGAAGCAGCTCCCTTTCTCAGGACTTCATTTGGAAGAGATCGGATGTGAAGCAAGGCCCCCTTTCCTTATGATACTAATCTCTTTTTTCTTCTCTTTTCTTTAGGGAATTTGGTCCTTATATTAAATTTGATAAATACAGAAAATGTGATTAATGGATAACAGAGTACTATATACTTGCTTATTCTTTTCACTAAATTCTGAAAATTATTTCTTTTGGAATTTGAGGGTGTATAATAAATAACACAACTCCATGCTGCACCCAAATTTGGAACAACATTGGAAACAAAAGAAAACTAATGGAGAACTGAGTATCACATTTATTAGAAATAAACACCATACTGAAAAAGGTGGTAGATATTCATCTCTGGGTACTGATTGTTTCAAGTCAGCTTTCAGTTTGCTTGGGGCTGAGGCCTGTTATCAAACGTGCTTATGAACACTCCCCTGAATTCAGTTTATTCCAGATTGCAGGCTTATCTGCAAGGTCAGACGCTGCCCCACTAATCTCACTTAAAGACATGAACAAAAGAGAAAATATCCCCGCCACACATGCACACAGTTGTTTGAGAATTTCTACTCCATATGCATAAATGAAGCCCACTTTCAGTAGAAGAGAAAAAGGTCCACATGCTAACAGAAGGAGAGAAGAGCCAAGAGCTTTGGGGAACAAGCATTTTTTTGAGAGAAAGGGAGAGAGTGCTCATCGTCTGACCCCCAATTGCAGTATACCTAATCCTCACTCCATCCCATTGTTCACATTACATCGTTCAATAAATTCCCTTTTCTTTTTTTGCTTGATCTGGTCTATAATCTGTCACTTGTAGCTGAAAGATCTTGACTAATACAGGGAGATGAAGTCATTATTTTACTTGAGGCTGGGGAAATGAAAAGAGCTCTCTCCTTTGCCATGTGTGCTCTGTGTTAGTACCTGTTGTTGCCACTAGATGCCAGCCTCAATCTTCTAACTTAATCCGACGAGTTGAACCAGACAGGTCCAGAAAGGTATGCACAAGTCTACTTTCTCCATCACCTTTCCAGCATATACACAGCCCACCTCTGCTAGCAGGGGAGACCCTCGTCCTCTTATGTCTTTGTCCCTCCTGCCCCCAGCACTCCAGGCCAGTAGGATCCAGCTGGGTGGCTCTCTTTGGAGCTGGGGTGATAAAGTTTCAGGTCTCTCAGGTCCCTTAAAATGAAGAGTCTCTTAAAATACAGACCTTCTCTTGTTAATTATCATCTTGTATAGTTGAACACTATTTCATTATTTCACCTTTCCATCTCTGCCTCACCAAAAATAACAAAAGCAGAATCTTCTCCTCAAAAAGGGGTGGGAGGTATAACTTGTCCTATCACAGAATAAAAAAGAGAGAACCAGGAAAATTCTATCTTTTATTTTCCCCTCCTCAAAAAAAAAGAGAGCCCACAATTATTCTACTTTAGTAGGAAAATAAACAGGCATAGTTAGAAATCCCTGACTTAACAAGCATCTTCTCTGTTGTGTGAAAATGCTGGGCTGACTGGGAGACAGATAGGAACACACACACGGTAACTAAGCTCATATGAAGTGTAAGCTGAGAATGGAAATAACCATCTGAAGTTTTAGATGAGAACACAGGCATTCCAGTAAAGGAAGGGCAGTTTGACATCTTGGCCCAGCCTTAAAAGAAGAGGTAGAGTTCTGACAATAATTAGCCCATGTTCACTGAGCACATGCACCATGCCAAGTGCTGTGTTTTATTTGCTTTATGTCAATTAATCCTCTCTACAGTCCTATAAGCCTGCTACCATTGTCACCCCCATTTTACAGATGAGGAAACTAAACTTAGACAAGGTAAACTATGCAATCTTGTAGTTTATAAAGGACTGAAATTTAAACTCAATTATCTTGCTCCTAACCACAACCTTATGTTGTTTACAAACCCAAAAGGGACTAGAAAAAGAGAGCCTAGATGCACTAATGGACAAATAATGTATCAAAATAAAATTTTGTTTTCAAAATTATAAAATCATTCCTCAAATGGGAGCCAAGTTTCCTGCTTACTTTTCAGATATTTAAAGTAAATTAGTTAATACTCACTTAGCATCAACTTTTTAGGCTTGATCACCATTTCTGTTTTCTGATCTCCAGATCTATTTATTCTCTACAAAACAGTAAGAAATTTTTTATAGAGTACAGGCAAATAAAACCTATTGGTTTGTTTAATGAACATTTATTGGGTGCCTATGCTGTGTCAGACACTGTTCTAGGCACTGGGCAGATAAGGCCTGTATTCTCAAGGAGTTCACATTCAGATGACCTTGGTAAGAGCATAGTGCTGGGGGAAAAACGATAACAAACAAATAAACAAAACCCACGAGTAGCAAGGTCAGGAGTGGATACTGCCTGCTATAAGCAGAGAGATTGCTAGAGGGGCTAGGAGAAGTCAAGACCAGATGTTGAGATCAGAGAGACCTGGGAGATACAACGACGTCATGTAGGTAGGCCTTAAAGCCACGGATAGAAGTCTAGGTCTTATTCTAAATGAGATGAGAAGCCGTTAAAAGGGTATTCCTTTAATACTTTGAGCTACAGCCTGCTCCTCTAGACGCAACTCCTGAACGTAATTTATCTGTAAACACTATGGCGGATTTCTCACTTCTTCATCTGCCTCCTGACTTTCCAGACCCTTTCTCCTCAGAGCATGGTCAGGAACAGCACTGGGAGCTTGTTAAAAATGCAGAATTGTAGATTTCACTGCAGACGTGCTGGGTCAAATTCTACAATTTATCAAGATCCCCAGTGGAATTTTAATGCATCTCAGGTTGAGAGGCATTGATGTATACCCCTTAGAGGAGACTTTGGGAAAGAGAAGTGGGTTTTTTTTGTTTTTGTTTTCCCAATGGTTTTGTGTTTTTCCTGGGAGACACATATGCTCCCAAGACATTGCCTGGCTAAGTGTTAATGAGTCTGAACAAGGCTCACCTCAGCATCATTAGTCGTTAGTGGTAAATGGCTAAGAATACAAGCTCTGAAACCAAACTACCTGAATTCAAACCTCAGCTTGATCTCATGTTACTTAAGTGAACTTCAGCAAGTTAGTTAGCCTCTCTCCTCTATACCTTAACTTTCTTATGTGATAAAAACTGTTCTTGGACAGGGAGATCAGCCCGGTGCTTTGTGACCACCTAGAGGGGTGGGATAGGGAGGGTGGGAGGAGACACAAGAGGGAGGAGATATGGGGATATATGTGTAGCTGATTTACTTTGTTATAAAGCAGAAACTAACACACCATTGTAAAGCAATTATACTCCAATAAAGATGTTAAAAAACAAAACAGGGCTTCCCTGGTGGTGCAGTGGTTGAGAGTCCACCTGCAGATGCAGGGGACACGGGTTCGTGCCCCGGTCCGGGAAGATCCCACATGCCGCGGAGTGGCTGGGCCCGTGAGCCATGGCCACTGAGCCTGCACGTCCGGAGCCTGTGCTCCGCAACGGGAGAGGCCACAACAGTGAGAGGCCCACGTAATGCAACGACAACAACAACAACAAAATCCAAAATCATATTATTTTTTAAAACATTTTCTCTACAAGAAAGTAAGGTCCAAGAAATAAAGTCCTCACATGTCTTATTTATCTCTGTATCTCCAGTGTGGATAACACTGCCTGGAACAGAGAAGGGAAATGGTGAGGTTATTACCTGTGTTGTACTATTATTAAGTAACTTTGCATTGATATGTCAGGGTAGGGAGGACATACAGGATTATATACTATAAAAAAATAGTAAAGAAGCTGATCTATATCATCTGGAGAAAAAAGAGACCTTGACTAGGCACTCTACAGCTGCCTTTGCATACTTGGAGAGAGCAGACACATTCTATTGGGCTCCACTGTAGAGAACCATAATATATGGAAACCAGATAGAGATGCAGTTCTGTTCAATATGATAAAGAACTTCTGAGCAGTCCAAACAGACCAAAAATTCAATGATCTTCCTTGGTAACTAGTCTTTATATAGAACATCATGACTTTATGGGAAACTGGAGTAACTCCTTATTTGTTGATGTCCAAGGAAAACACCAACATCTCTTTAGCTGTTATGTAATGGGTAAACTGTGGCAAATTAAGTTTGCTGAAAATTAAGTTTAAAGTGAAAAAAAATTTCTGTATTGTAGAAAATTTAATAGAACCTTTAATAAAATAAAGTGCATTATGAATCTCCCAAAAAGAAATAGAGTGTCTAGGGTTTCCCAAGTCTAATTGACCAAAGAGTCCCTTTTTCAAGAAATACTAGTTAACATTTCAAGGGACACCAGTGTCTGGAAGATCAAAGGTCTAGGGTTCTCTGCATGGAAGAAGGACATGAATTGGTAGAGGGTGGGAGTGCAGAGGGAAGAATGTTATGGACTGATTTGTGTCCTTTCCAAAATTCACGTGATGAAGTCCTAACCCCTAATGTAACTGTATTTGGAAAAGTGGTTTCAAAGAAGTAATTAAGGTTGACTGATGTCATAAAGATGGGGCCCTAATCTAATAGGGTTTATGTCTTTATTAGAAGAGGAAGAGTTACCAGGCCTCATACACTCAGAGCAAAGACCCTGTGAGGACACAGTGCAAAGGCGGCTGTCTTCAAGCCAAAGAGAGAGGCCTCAGGTAAAACCAGCCATCCTGGCTCCTTGATCTTGAAGTTCTAGTCTCCAGAACTGTGAGAAAATAAATTCTGTTGTTTAAATCACCCAGTCTTTGGTATTTTGTTATGGCAGCCCTTGCAGGCTAATACATCCTCTAATGTTGGCTAACTCTAGGGTTACAGGTGTTCCCTTCAGCACTGAGCACAGTAGACAGGATTTTACTAACAGGAGCTGGGAGGTGTGTGTGTGTGTGTATGTAATCTAGATCCAGATAGTGTCAGGTCACCTAGAAGCAACATGAACCAACAGGAAATAGTCTTTACTGTTAATTCACAACATCTTGTCCCATGATTGAAACTACTAAGCCTCAGTGATTCAAAGAAAATTGAATAGAACCAAAGCATAGGATCCCTAGATGTGCTAACTCCCTGTTCCCACAAGAGGCAGGGAACAAGGTCCTGTCAGACACAAATCAAAATGCAAAGATCAAAATGCAAATATTCAGATCTCTGGGTCACTGTGACTCAGTGCACAGAGGCGTGATCACAGTGGAGGGGAGGGGAGGGGGGAAGGGGGGAGGGGAGGGCAAGGGGAGGGAGGGAAGAGGAGGGGAGAGGAAAAGAGTTGGAGTAGACTGCCCTGGGGGTCCAGTGGTTAGGACTCTGCGATTCCAACACAGGGGGCGTGGGTTCGATCCCTGGTCAGGGAATAAGGATCCCACATGCTGTGCAGTGTGGCAAAAAAAAAAAAAAAAAAAAAAAGAGCTGGAGAGTGAAGGGGCCACATAGGGAAGGGAGAAGAGGACAGACAAAAGGCTAGAGCTAGTTCAGTCAAATCTAGGCCACTGATTTTAAACTGCCACAAGAAGGCCTTGAAGGTGTTGGATGCCAAGAAGGAAGGAGCCTGGGGTTGGGGGTGAGCTAGTACAGAAATTAGGAGAGAAAAACAGAATTAAGTAGTAGAGTTCCAACTTCTCCCCAGCCAGCCCCCATCCTCAGCCTTATTTATTACTTGTACATATTAGGGGTTTTTAACTTGAAAACTTGAAGCACCAGTCTAGTTAATCTCTAGCTGTGGGGGAAGCAGAAAGCACCAGATGGCAAAAGGGCTGTCACAGCACTGCACCTTAGATGAAGGTGGAGGACAGGGGATGAGGCCTTGTCTCCTGATTCTCAATCATCCCCTCTCCCACTGGGATCCTCCTTCTTTCCAAATGATTCTCACACATGAAAAAGCCATGCACCCTGACCTGGTGCTCAGCCCTGTCTGCTTGCTCACTTGAAACATCAGCTCTCCTTCCTGACTGCTCTGATGTGGCTGGTTTTACTCCTATTACTCCAATTTCCAATATGTCTTCAGGTCTACCTCTAAGATTTCGATTTAAAGGCAATACACCAGAGTGAGTAAAAAGTATGGGCTCTTAACCTTAACCATAAACTAGCCATTTCTCTAAGTCCCTGTTGCCTCAGCTAAGTAACAGGGCAAAACCCACAGTGATTCAGTGTCATAACATATTTTGGAAGGAATGTTAAGCATGGTATTGACTGGGTCTGCTAAAAACTAGTACTAATTTTGTCTAGTGGCCACTAATTTTATATCTTTTGTTGACTATCTGACTTGCTCCCATCCACGTCTGTGCCAAGCCTTCTTCATTCTACTCCAGCTTCCAGACCAACCTGATTCTTTCACTGCAAAAGGCAACCCCAGAACTTAACAGTCAGAGCCAAGCTTACAATGGGTACCCCTTCACCTTTCTTTCTCTTCCTTTCACAATATGTCTCTATACTCATCCGCTCTTCTCTGTCTTCCATGTCATAGGGAATGGTGTTACACTTGTGCTCTTAATCTTATTTCTTACTTTTCTATACTCCTCTAATTAGACACCCTCCATCATGTTACCTTAAATTTCTTCTTCTTCCCTTTGTCTTTAAGACATGCTCAGTCCATCCTAGATCTTGCTGAAGCCTTTGTTTTTTCCATTCTTCTCCTCTGACTATCAAACATCTAAAAAAGAATAACCCTATCTTTCCACTTCATCCTGATCACCCTTTGATTCCATTCCCAATCCTTTTAGCTAAAATTGCATTTTAAACTGCAACAAAACACCTCTTCTTGAAATATAATGGCTTTTTCTCAGTATTCATTCTCTTCAAACTTTCACAGTAAACAATAAAGCTTATAATTCACTCTCTTTATTAGAACATTCACTTCCCATTTTTTCCGTGACTGAACCTAATAGTTTCCTACATTAATTGGTATCATGATCTTGGGAAGATTACTTAAATCCTCTGAGCCTCAACTTACTCACTGATAAAACTGGATAATAAAAATTACTCCCTCAATCAGTTGTCATGAATATCACATTCCATATCATTAGTTACCCTATATCAAGCTCTAATTATGATCTTAGCATCTGATATACAAACACACACACACCAGAGATTTTACCTATTTATAGACACATTATATATATATATATATATATATATATATAATTGTATTTCACACTCAAAACCACTCTGTGAGGTATTATTTCTATGTTACAGATGAGGAAACTAAAATATCAGAACTTAACCTATGCACTCAAAGTCACACAGCCAACATTTATTAGAAACAAGATTGCAAATAAGATCCATGGGACTCAATGCACACTTTTTTTTTAAGGCTGTACCATGTGGCGTACGGGATCTTAGTTCCCTGACTGGGGATCGAACCCATGCCCCCTACATTGGGAGCATGGAGTCTTAACCACTAAGACTAAACCACCTAAACCGTCAGGGAAGTCCCAATGCACATATTCTTAACTAAGAGATTATACTGCTCCCCAAACAGATGTAAGAGTCTAAATTTTAGGGAGGCATGCAATGTCATTTATTATCTTTTGTATGTGTTATGCTTCAGAATGTACTACAATAAGCCTGCCAAGCAAAGCACTGGTGAAGCAGACTCTACTGCCTTCCCCCAGGTTTTCATACATATGTCCTCAAGATCAAAAGATAAATAACAGACATTTGGATAACTGTGCTTGGAAAATACAGTTTAAAATCTAATGTCAGCAACTCACAGCGGAGACTCTTGGCCTGTCAATAATAATAGTAACAATCACAGCAACAATTACATGCACTGCACTTGAAAACAGACTTTCATGTAAAAGACTCCAATTATGTGAACTCTACTGGGGCTAGCAATAGGTCCCACTTGACATGGCATGAAACTAAGGCTCTGGGGTGGTCTCTGTGTCGTTTGCCAACTATTTCCAGTTCTTCCCATTCCGGTTTTCAAGACTGGTGGTCAGTGGTTAAGAATCTGCCTGCCAACACAGGGGACACAGGTTCAAGCCCTGGTCCAGGAAGATCCCACACGCCGCGGAGCAACTAAGCCCATGTGCCACAACTACTGAGCCTGCACTCTAGAGCCCGGGAGCCACAACTACTGAGCCCGCATGCCACAACTACTGAAGCCCATGTGCCTAGAGCCTGTGCTCCGCAACAAGAGAAATCACCGCAATGAGAAGCCTGCACACCACAACGAAGAGTAGCCCCTGCTCAATGCAACTAGAGAAAGACTGTGCACAGCAAACGAAGACCCAACACAGCCAAAAATAAATAAATAATTTTTTTAAAAAAGAGAGAGAGACAAGGTAACACTGTACCCAGTAACCTCTATGGTTAGGCCAGGCCACATCCACATGACAGTGAAGGAGAGTGACACTGGTGCCACTTCTGAGATGGAATATTCAATTGCTGTAAATGGAAATCCTCAGGAATGCATCTTCACTTCACCTTGACAATGAACAATATTCCAAATGGTGACTACCCTGTCTACTTGGAATCCATTGAAGGCATGCAGCACCATCAGCTGACCACCATACATGTATAGCTTGAGTAAAAATCAACTTGTACTGTTTTAAGTCACAGAAGTCTTGGGATTATATGTTACCACAAAATAACCAGCTCTTCCTAACTGATATAGGCTCATGGCACAACTGACTTCCCCAAGATCACACAGCTAGAAAATGTCAGTGCCTTTCTCCAAGCCTCATAAGTGCTAAGGTCACTAGTCCTTCCACTATATCCCAGCTTGCTTCATGGGTTTATTGCCTCGAAAATAAAACAACATTTTCCCAGGAGCCAAAATATAAACCTAAGTGTAACCTGTCTGATCTGAGTTTAATATCCTCTATTTTGGTGAAATAAAGAAATTTTGATATTTTCATTTATTTCGTAAATAGGCCAAGCAGCCTATACTTAATCTCTTCTACTATATGAGGTTTGGAAATCTAAGTAACAACATTCCCCATCTCTAGAGCAGACAGAAAAATACTTCTCACCTTGCATAATCAATCTGTTGGTCAGACAGGAAGTAGCAATTGAGTGACAAGGACTGTATCACCACCCAGGGTGTGACACTGTGCTTTGAGAGCCAACACTGACTCTGGATGACCTCACAGGAAAGGTGGAGAAACCAAGCATTGCCTTATAAACACACCCCTTTCCTAGGGTATGGCTGATGCAGCTGTTGTGACGGTCCTGAGCAGCCTCTGAATCACAGCCATCTCCATCGTGAAGATCATTGGGGATCTCCTTCTGTTCTGTACAGTGGCCCATCTCTGCACCTGCTCAGGTAAGTTAAGGGTAGATAGTGCCCTGTATAGCCATTAAGCTTGTTCTCTGAAATAGCCCCTCATAGGATGTGAACATCTCAGAGAAATGTCTTGTCATGTGGATTTAAAGTATACTGGTTTGTAACAGAAACAGCCCTGGCCTGGAAAAGGAGACACTTATGTTCCACCTGGAGTTGAGGGATTTGGATCTAGTGCATTCCTTTTAAGGATTTCTATTTCCATTCATGGAACCAAAAAAACCCCAAAAAACAGAAAAGCCTTATTTTTTCGTAAGTCTCCCATTTTATTAGGACACTAGAAATTGCTGGTGCTATTAGATACTACTCAGTGCAAAGACTCAGAGAAACTTGGATCTCTCTCCAAATCAATACAGGAGGATTGATATAAAGCATGATTCTCCAAAACCCAGGAGTCAACAATTAAACTTTTAAACAGTGAAAAATTACTTAAATAAGATTCTGATGCCTTGGAGATATTCCATTACATTCCTTTATCGACTAGGAGGGGGAGAATATCAAAGATGGTGCTTCAGGCTCTTAGAAGTGGTGACTGCAATATTTTTATTGCTATCTGATGTAAAACATTATCAGAAACATGATGAACTCCAGAAAACGTCCCATGGTCAATAAACGGAGGAACTTTGGATGATTCTCTTACTTGAACCAAGGCTTACCTAACCTATTGGCCATTTGGCTTCCTCAGCAAACAGCTGGGTTTTCTGAAAGGACGGGGTAGGTGCTGAAACTCATCAGACTCTGTAGAGAACTACAGAGTCTCAATTGACAGACTTTCTGTTAATTAATGAGATATCACAACTTTGCTTTATTTTTAACATTTCCAACTGTATATCTCTTTCAGAAGTTGCCAGTCTGCCTTTAAAAACAGTGAGTATATTGAACCACATTTTAATTTCAGTTTAATTTCCTATTTAGTTTTACTTTAATTTCCTATTTACTATATTTAGCCAACAAATACTTATGAAATATATATGTAAGATTAATTCAGTATGCTTGGGGGGGGGTGAAAGGGAAGGCAGCCACAGATAAATTGCCTTTGCTTTTCAGAAGGCAGCTGAAGAAATATGACATACATATATGTAAATAACCACAGCCTAAAGAAAATTTTCCAGAATTAAGAAAGAGCAGGAGAGGACTTCTAGCGGAGAAGATGGTGATGTCTTCATGGAAGGGATAACATGTGAGAGGCAAGAGACATTTACCTTGGTTAATTGCACAGACTCTGGATTCAGATCCCAGCCCTACCACTTACCAGCTTTTATGTTAGACAAGTTCTCTTTTTAAGCCCAAATTTCCCTCATCTGTAAAATAGGGGTAATAGTAGAACCTACCCTATTCAGTTGTTCTGAAGATTAAACAAAGAAATTTCATGTAAGATTTAAGTTTAATGCCTGGCAAAGAAATGCACATATGTATACACACACACACACACACACACACACACACACACACACACACACACA